ACGAGCTAGCTAACGGACTGACTAGCGCGGCGTCGCCTGCTCGCGCAGCGACTCGGCGACGCCGCGAACGTCGGCGCCCAGCGTCGAGGCGAGCGTGCGGCGGGCGAGCCGGCCGCGCACCGCCGCCTGCAGCGCCGTCGCCGCCGCCACCCTGCGAGACGCCGCAAGCGTGCGCCTCGCCAAAAGGCCGCGCAAGGACGCCTGCGTCGCCGACACCAACCCATCAACTAACGAGCGCACTGACGAACTACTCAGCGCGCACGTGGCGCCTGCACCGCCGTCGCCGCCGCGCCGGCCCGGGACGGCGGCGGCGCCGCCCCGGCCGCCCCGCGGGCCCCCTCCGCCACCGCCTCGGCCGCCCCCCCACTCGGCGGAAGGTCGAGCGGAGGCAGCGAGCGCCCGCCCCCTCCCCCTCCACCCCCCCCGCCTCGCCTCTCCCCGCCCGCCGCGCCGCCCGCGCCGCGCCACGGCGGCGCCTCCCCCTCCGTGCGCTCCCTCGCCCCAAACAGGGCCGGCACGTCGAAATGGCGCCGCCAGCCGCGGCGGGCGCGCGCGGGCGGGGCGGCGGCGGCGAGGCGCGGCGGCGCGGCGGCGGCGGAGAGCGAGGCGCGCACGGAGCGCGCCTCCTCTGCGCTTGCTTTGTCGGCGGGCGAGGGTTGGCCGAGGAGTGTGCGACCGGGCTGCGACTGCAGGATGCGGATCGGCGCCTACTCACCCGCGGCGGGTGTGAAGAGGCGCGGCTCACACGCTCCCCCCCCCCTCTCGACTGCACGGCGCGGATCGGCGCCGATGTGTTGTTCGAGATCATCAGCGGCATCTCGTGCGCGCGCGCCTCGCAGAGCTTGACGAAGCAGACGCCGTCGACCACCTCAGAGGTGCAGTAATGAGTACTGAGTGAATGCCCTGCGTTCCCTCGCCCAAAGCAGGCGCCGTCGAGCGACCTCGAGGTGCACGCCGAGCACGCGCAGCTTGCGCGGCTCGGAGGGGTGCCTCGACTTGATCAGGCAGCGCAGGCCCGAGCTGGCGCCGCCGCCGCCGCCGAGCTTGAAGGGCGCGCACGGGAGCCACTCTGAGCCGTCGGCGTCGAGCACCTTGACGCAGAGCCACCGCTTGTTATTCATTATCGACAGGATTGAGGTAGCTACGTCGAGCGCCTTGACGCAGAGCCGCCGCTTGTGCCTCGCGGAAGGCCAGTGCCAGACGAGACGCTGCGCGGGCGAGTGCGGCCGGTGGCGCGGCATCAGGAACCAGGCGTCGTGCCCGGCCTGCCCGACGACGAGGTCGAAGGGCGTCGAGTTGAGGAGCACGTACCGCGGCAGCAGCGTCACCAGCCGTGTGCGGTGGAAGTCAGCCGGAGCCCGCGTCACCTGCGCGGCGAGCTCGTAGACCACGTCCTCGTGCCGCAGCGCGAAGCTGGCCGCCTTGGAGCGCGAGAGGGAGAGCTCCGCCCACCGCCCCTCGTCCACCTGCACGGCCACCAGCTGGCCGGTGAGCTTGCCGGACGGACCGAACGAGAGCATCAGCGGCGGCAGCCCGGCGGCGGGCGGCAGCTCGGCCGGCTCAAAGGGCGGCAGCCGCGCGGTGCCGTCCTCGATCGCCGCGCGGGAGAGGCCGCGAGCGACCGACGGCTCGAGCGGCTCGTGGCCCACCGCAGAGAAGCGAGGCAGAGAGCGGCGGCTGCCAAACGAGCCGCCGGGCGACGCGTCGTCGGCATCGTCGTCGCCGTGGCCCGCCGGCGAGGCGGCGGCGGCGGCGGCGCTCGACGCGGCGGCGGCGCCCGCCGCCGGTGGCTTGATGGAGATGAGTGAGCGGACAGAGAGTGGCAGGTGCGTCTTGTTGAGGAGCCTGTTCACAGCTGGAGGCGTGAAGAGGGTCGCGTCCGCGGCGGTAGAGCGGGCAGGCGCGGTCTTGACGACGCACCAAAACTCGGCGTAGAGCACGCAGCGGCGGCAGCCCTCCTGCTCACAAGCGGAGGCGTGGAGAGGCGCCGTTCACAGGCAGAGCACGCGGCGGCGGCAGCCCCCTCCTCCGAGTCGACGCTCTCGGCCCAGAGCAGCATCCCGCCGCCCTTCTCGTCCCGCAGCGAGAGGTGCTTGCGTTGCACCGACTCGTCGCGCCACGGCGCAGCCCCAATCTCGCGCGGCCACCGCCGGCCGGGCCGGGGGCGGGGGGCGGGCACCGCGCCGGCACCGACGCCACGCCGCCCCCCTGACGGCGCGGCTGCGGAGCGGAGCCACGCGTGCGCGCTGGCCTACCGATCGGGTTCGACCAGCGGGTGGCGTGGCACGCGTTTTGGGGGGGGGCGCAGCTGCGCGCGCGCGCGCGCACGCTCGCCGGCACGATCGGAGGTG